CTAGGTGACATTCTCAATGCAGTAACCCAGTTACCGCACCTCGATTGGTGATGAAACGTTTGCAATACAATTGCCAAGCTCGGCGAACAAGTGAACACCAAGTTATGTTATCCGAGCTACAAAAACAACAATCAACACCGTTGTTTACAAAACTGATGATAGGCAATGCTGGCTAGGCCATTTAGTTGAATGGATCAATCAAATGCGAGCTTTGCAGAATCGTGAGAATACATCTGAAAATTGAAAACATGTTCGTGGCAATCACGGAATAATTAAAAAACACTACAGCTGGAACTGAGGGCTTCAAAATATGCAGTTTGCATTTGTATGAAAGGTACCTAAGAAGAACCAATGACAGTCTAAGCCACATACGGAGATTTTGAGAAAGACAACGAGAGGGGCAGATTTTCCACAATAACGTGCAAATTGTTTCTGATTGAGTAAATAGTGTAACAGGATAGTTGAACGAAAAGGCCGTCTGAGGAAATAGGGAAGCTGTGGTGTTTCTCCTACAAATACTGTGAAAAGCTTTTCAGGAAAGCACTAAACATAAGTTGAAGGTAAGACATAAGATGATAATGGATTAGGGAAGCTAATGCGACAGGGATGGAGCGCTGAAAGTGACACTGTTCGGAATTGTTTATTCATTATTATTTATTTAAATTCTGTGTGATGGAGAATGCATATCCGTTTGAATTTTTATATATTTTGTAAGCACCCATTGTCTATAGTATCACAGGTGCATAGCACAGTGCTTGAATACCTGAATACAATGGATGTGATGTTATTGAGTGAGAATACTGCTATCCAGCCAGGGTTGCATTCACAACAGCACAAAAACTGTTTGAACTCACGCATTCATAACTTTTATTCAAATCTTTCCCGACCATTACTCATTAAAGGTACTCTGAAAAAGACAAATCAAAGATAAGGTGCATTCATTTTAAGCCTCGTACGATTTGCGTTTTTATGCAGCAAGATACCTGTATATTTCGGGGAACATATCTGTATTTGTCTGGCAATTTTATTTTAGCATACCACTTGTTCGGACTAAGAGACCGGTCTATATTCGAAGGTCAAAGTGGGCGACAGATTCGGCGGTTTAGTCCGGCCGATTTATGAAATGCGTTGTGCTACCACGTGTGACCTTTCAGACGTAGATACGATCAGTCAGTTGTGCTGTAATCGCTGTCTGCCAATCAGGTCGAACCCGGTGTCTACAAAAATGACCAGATGTTTACCGTCCGTCATTCTGCACCAGTGGATGTATCTTGTCCCAGAGTATTAGCAATCAAAGACTTGTGAATTGTTGAAGCAAGTAAAATACACTGTGGGGAGGCGACAAAAATCACCGGATTCTGATTATAAATCCCTGCCTTGGTGACTCGGTTTTTTGTCATTCGATAATTAATGGGAATTAATATGCCTCTTATTCTCTCTGGTTGTCCGATAGAATTTATATAAAAGAGAGACAAATAATTTAGCATGATGAACCAGTACGTTGAATGAAATGATGAGCTAAACAAATAATGTCAACGTACCCAGTGCATTCACGTGATCATTTTAAGCATCTTCTGGTTATGCATGCCAGTGTTGGACTTTCAGTTTGAAGCAAGATAAGTGCTTCGGATACAG